TTAGCAATTCTCAGCCATCCCACTGGGATATGGATTTGAGAGGGAGGAGAGTAATACTTTAGCAGTAGGAAAGATTTTTCTAATTAGAATAAAGCAAAGCCCACCATCTGTGGCTGATCTTTGAGGAAGTGTATGTGTTTTTTTAGTCTCTTTTGACCTTCTACAGTAAGGCATAGAACAAGTATGCACATGCTGGATACAACAGAAATAAGAAGTTACTAGGGTTTGGTTTGGACTTCCGACTTTCTACGAATACCCATTGTAAAGGAAGCTAGCCGTATGAAAGGCAAGTTCAAGGGGAAGATGACACCACACTCCAGTGATGTATTCCTTATGTCCACCAATGATTATGTAATACCATTAAATAACACTAAGTTATTACCATTACATAATCGACTTAAGTCACCTTTCATCGAAATGCATTTTGATACATGTGCTAGTATAGCAAGGATTGTGCTCAGATGTGGGAAGAGATGCCATTGGTTACAGTCAGTGCTATGACTGTTTTGATAGTTTCAGGCACAGGAAGGGTAGCAGAGATGCCAGCAAAGCCTATGCAGAAGGCATGGGAGGAAGTCAAAGGCCATCTTGGGATCTAATGGGACAGCAGTAGGGGACCTGTATCAGTAGGTGACTCGTCTGTATCAATAGCTGGTGAAAGTAATACAAAAATTACTACCAGTGTGGCAATGGCCTGTTGTTAGATGGAGATTACCCTGGGCACTGTCAGTGTTTATGTGCTGTATATGGCCCAAAATGCCAAATTAAGACTGAAGGGATGAGCTGGAGTTGAGGTGAAGTCTTCCCCTCCTGTCCCCCACGAGTCAGTTCACTCAAAAAGGAATGTAGCTTGAGGCAGTAAACTTGACGGCAGAAATGAATGCAGTGTGAAAAATCAATAATGCATTTCAGCTCAAGTTTTATATGTAATACCGATGTTTAAATCACTTAACAGCGACGAAAAGTGTGGATATGTGTAAATTCAAGGGGTTGCTAAAGAAAATGTGAGAGGGGGAAAATGTATACAATTATCAATGAAACTGCAGCAGGAAAAAGTGCAGAATTACTGTAGTGGCAAGAAGAAGGAGGAGTGGGTAGTCAGAAGGGATTACTGTTTTTTTTTGGTTTTTTTGTTTTTTTTTTTTTAATGAAGGAATCCAGGGAGAGTTGCTGACTAGCTCGTTGTGAGCAGTGACTGTTTTATTGTGTGGTGGTTTAATGCAGTGGCACACTAATCCCTCAAAGAAAGTGACTGAGTTTTGGAAGATTTTTTTTTTTCTGTAAGAAATGTTGGTGTTCCATTTGCTTTTGGAAATGAAGAAGACTCATTGCATTCCTGTAAAGTATGTCCAACTTTTCTTATTTTAAGAAGCACGGTAATAAAAATACAGTTGTTATTTTCTGGATATTTTGTTGCAGTTGGCATTCTTGTTGGTAACTGCTAATCTCCTGGTTGTATCTCTCTGCATAAACATTACTGTTTTCCCAGATAAGAGATTTATCTGTTACCATCTTTTTGCCTAGGGCATGGCTATTTTTCCTTCTATAGAAAGGATATTTATTATATGCCGTTTCTGTGTTTAAAAGCATATGTGGATATACTACGAAAAGAACTGGAGTTCTAGACAGTCTGCTACGCTTGCCTTAATTTCAGCATGTGTTGTGAAGTCTGTGGTGCCCGCAAGGCTCCTCTTTGGGGTAAGGATGGGAGTACAGATCATATCAGCATCACACGTGCTCACATTTTCATTGGCAGTTTTGATCGTGTCAGCTGCCTAATAAGCTACTCCACAGGCCCTCCAACCTCATTTTAAATATTTCTGGAGGTTAATCACGCAAGGGAAATAAGGGAGTGTTAAGTGAATTCTTACTGTGCAGGCACCGGCCCTGATGCTGAGGTAATCTACTCTGCTTTCTTGTCAGTCAGGCAAAACCGTACAGTTGAAGGAAGGGCTTAGTACAAGATTTTGTTGTAAAGAGTGGGATTGCCTCTACTCTAGCCTCTGTACCAACGTATCTTAGACGTTCTTTCAGATATTGGAGCAAGATAAAAACTGAGTAAAATATAAATGCCTGTAAAGGACAAAGAATAAAGGTGGGTATTGGAGGTGTTCTTTGTCAGATTAGGCCTGGGCATGGTAAGGTACAGCATGCCCTGCTCTGCTGAGTGACTGACATGAATAGGAATCACAGTATTAGCTCTCTGTTTTGGGTCTGGGTCTCATTTAAAACAAAAAGTAAGTACAGGCATTAAGAACAGCACTTATTTCTCATATACCTTTCTTCTCCTAGACTTCATTGATTTGTTATTTAAACTTTTTTGTCTTAGGATCCAAACCTAAACAAAACTAGATTAATTTGTGGACAAAATATTGCCTTCCATTTTTTTTTCTTGGGAAGCTCAGTGGGATTCATCTGAAATGAAAATTAGTGCAGTCTGGGAAAAACCTAGTGTCTGACAATGGATTTTGAGACCAGTTTCAAACCCCTACTAAAAAGTGCGTTGGTTAACCAAAGAGCGATGCTTTTCCCCAGTTTTAGAACAGGCTTTATTAAAGCAGACGTATTTCTTGCTTAAATTCTTCTTTGTTCTGAAGATCAGAGGAAAACTATCACTTTTCAAGTATGATTCCTGTGATGATAAAATGTGCTAAGACTATGCTACAGTGATCAAGTTGCAAATTGTTTAATGTAATTTTCCTGGGGGCTTCTAGAGTGGGTTAATACAGAGTTTCTAAGAGGGGTTTGTGTAATATATGTCTGGTTGACAAAGTAGGTGTTGCCAAAGCATTTTACTGGTGTTACCATCAGTGATATGATGTGTTGTTTGGAGCTGTCTGGACTTTGCTGGAATTTTAGGAGCCTTCTTGCAGAGTTCCATTACAGTGTTTGTAGTCTGCATTCTAGCCTGAGAGATTTTTGTAATCGGGGACCCAGCAGCAGGAAATGTCTGGTTTCACCCCGAGAACCTTGTCTTACCGTTGACTCTCAGGAGCAGAGTCAGAAAGCAAGTAAAGAAAATACATAGATCTCTTTTGATGTGGACAGCATTAAAGAGATAAATCATACCAGTTTAAATGCAAGGTGTGTATAACTTAGTTTTTTCCACTCACTTTTTATTTCTCTTTTTCCTGCCTAGTTGAGAAGGAATTAACCTTTTGAGGTGATAGATAAGCTGTGGCTGACTGCATATGTCACTGGTATATGCAAGGATAGACATCAATGGAATATCAAAGCTGTGGACATTGCAATCAATGCCTTAAGCTTATTATGACATCCTTTTAGTTGAGGATGGTGGGACACTATGTAAAAACGTTACCAGAATTTGACAGAGGCAGGCAGAGAGAGCAGATAGGAAATTAATTAAGTTTTTCCCAGTTCTGGAAAATGTTATTGTGGATAATTGGGCAAGAAACCACAGCTCTGTTGCATGTTTTTCTTCTGGTCACAAGCAAGGTGTTACCAAATTGGGTGAAAAATGTCTGTGGGTTCTACTTCACCAATTTAACAAAGAACAGTAGCACATTTTGAAGACTAATTGGGACGCATTAAAAAGACTGTCCTGCTGCTGCTTGGGAACTGTCTAGCTCCCAAAACAGTTTCCAGAGACCTCAGCAACTCTGTGTAGATCTGCTGTTGAAAATAAGATTTTGAAGCTGAGGTCTTTGATTTCCTAGCAAACTTGTGCTCATCTACCACGGTGCAAATCCTGTGTTGGTTGTCACACGCATATCCACTCCGTAGTTCTCTGAGGTGACAAGATTAATGAGGTGGGAATTAGTAATTTCAGGGAACAAATGTTTAGGATGTGTGGTTTGGAAGATGGTTCTCATTTGAGCTGTTCAATCAGAATCTTGCAGTGTGTTTTTGAACCTAGATTTGATTTAAAAAAAAAATCTTTTGAACTGTTGCTTTACATTAGCTTCTTGGTCATCTAACAGAATTCAGTTGCTTTAGTACTGCGATTGTCTCCATTTTGCATAGTTTTCAGAGATTCCTAAAAACTTAAGGTGCCTTTACATGTTTACTAAGACCTATATATAGCCTCTTGTCCTGTTTCTTGACAGTGGCTGGAAGTAAGCAAAAAGGAGCAGGATCATTACATGCTTGTCCTTTTAAAATTCCCTGAGCATTTTCTCCCTGCTGCTGGTTTGCAGCTCAGGGGCTTCCTGAACCAGAGATGCTTTCTGCCTAAAGAGTACCCGTGGGGAGACAATCCAGACTGGGTGGCAGTGCTTTGGTTGGGGGTCTGACCTTCCATTGCACAGGGCCTGAGCTTGCCTGGCCACAGTGAAATGACATGGCTAGGCGGTTAGCACAGCCACGACCAAGGAGGGATATGTCAACCACTCCCTGAGAGCCCCGTGCAAGTGCTCCCGAGGAATGGCTGGCCCGTGCCTTGGTGATCTCCCCTTACTTGGGATGCCGGGTAAGGGTACTTTCTTGGCAACGGAGTGGTATCTATTAGGCAGATTATAAGGAATTTTGGGCTAGAAGCAGAATAGTCCCCACTCACAGGGTGGTGTAATTGTTATGCACATAGTAAGTGCCTTATTCCAATAAACCTTACTTCATACCTCGAATTGGAACCTTATTCCTTCATGGGGTAGACAGCAGCATCTCTTTCTTCTTTCTTTTTTTGCCTCCCCTTCTTTTTTTGCCTCCCCCTCAGAATTTAGGTTTCTGTGGTTCAGACCCACCATTCTGGATGTTTGCATCTGTTGTTACATTAGTTGTGTTTCTAGGTAGGAAAAAGGTACAATTGTGATAATACTAAAAAAATTAATTTGCCTAAGAGAAGCAGAGCTTGTAGAAGGCTGATGTGAAGTGCTAGGAAATGAATGGTAGGAATTCTGTTTTGATGGAATCCCCTCTGGTCAGGGCTATAGTGAAAGAAACATGTTTTAGAATGGTAGGAGTGTTATCTTACAGTAAACTCTGTCCATTGTGTTGCCTCATCAACATCTAATGCTTTAACACACTCTTTCTTAACTTGACAGGCAAGTATCTGCTTCCCAATGCAACTGGACAGCAGCTGTGGCAACCTGCAGAAACCTCTAATCTTGTTCGCATGCGCTACCAAGCACTTGGGCAGTCAGCACCTTCACTTACTGCTCATTTGGTGAGTAATGTTTTTCAAAGCTAGGAGTGTACAAAAAAAAATCGATTGCTTCTGGATATATATTGGTGGGGGGATGTGGATCGAACCAGACTTTACTTCCAGATCAACCGCTCCTCCTTAAGCTGCATTTTGAAAGTACCTGATGCATTACATACAACATTACTTAATATGTTGAGTGCAGCTGAATAGTGTTTATGGTAGCAGTAACTGTGAATTGAGTTACTGGATTTTGCATAAAGTCTGAGCTGAATGTTGCATGAATATAGCTGTTTGCATTTAAATGATTTCCTTCCTATCAAAAAAAAAGGCGTGCTTTTTAAGACAGCAGGTGTCTGTCCTTTCTCCTGCACATTCTTGTCTACCTATGTCTTTGTTTCCACTTTCTGCAGGACTCTGTCCTCAGGAGAACATGGGTGTGTGAAGCATTAGCTTAATTAACTCTTTTGGGTAAAATGATAAGGGAACAGAAAGGGGAAGAGATGCCCCATACACTTGAACTTTCAGGTTTTTGTTGTCAGGCATCCACTATGCTGTTTTGTGCTTCTGTATATTCAGATCTTATGAGATGTTGCAATTTAATGTAGGACCCCATATACTATACTTTTCTTCAAAGAATTGCTTTAATGAATGTATTTCATGTTGTATAAAAAACCAGAAAAGTTTTATTAATGTTCCCCCCTACCCCTTCTGCCTTTTGGCTGGTTATTATTTGATGATCCGTGTCTACTTTCTAGGGGAAACTTGCCTTTTTTTTTTTTTTTTTTATGCAATGTAAAAAAAAGTTTAAGGCCATAATCAGACAATGCTGAACAAATACCACCATGCCAGTTTTTCATATATTGGTGTGTAGATGGCTGGTTACTCCATGAGTTTATCCGAAGTAGTATTTCACTTCAAGTGCAACAAACCTGCACTTACAAATTTAATCATGGTTTCCGCTTAGCAGTGGTGATAATTGTTCGTGGCTCTTTGTGGCAGATGTGGTGTATTTGCCTCCAAGCTTATTACAAATAATATTCTGATTCTATTGGAAGTTCTGTGCATTGAGCCCTAATATTTTCCAGGGAACTAAGTATCAACCTGGTATTTTTGTTTTCTAGTTTGTTAGGAGAAACAGTTCATTGTGAAGGAGGCATATATATTATGTGTACAGATGAATGGTCAGAAATCAATTTAAATTGCATCAAAACTGTACAATTTTTTCCTTCTTTTCTGTAGTTGGGAATTAAAAAATAATTTTTTCTGATGATCCAAATTAACTAAATTTAAAAACCGCTGTGTTGCTATTTGGTTCTCTGCACAACTGTTAGGTGTCATGCTACTAGCAACATTGTGCTTTTGTTTTGGTGTAATGGCTTAAGCTATAGGAAGAGGAAGATACAGCAGCATTTTCTCAAGAAGTATTTTAAATGGTTATAAAATAACAGACTAATGAAAAATTCAGTGAGCCATGCTTGCTTAAGGGCCTTTCACTCATCATCTATCAAGTTTTATGGCATGTTTGTCTGCCACAGACTTCTTCCTTCCTGTCTCTCCGCATCTTGTATCTGTGCCTGACTGCAGCTTCTTTCATGCTGGTGCAAAAGCAGGTGAGAGCCTCCTATGCAGACGGGAGCAGATTGTGCATGGGGTGGAGATGCAGCTTTCTCGGAAGTATTTATTTCTTATCTGGAACTGCCGATCAGGCTTGCCTCCTGAGGAGGGTAATGTTACATTGTCACGTAGGCAGAGCTCTTTTCAAGCATCGTTTGACAAATACGTCGCTTACAGACTG